GTGTATATATCACATAAACTGCACAGAGATGTTAAAACCTCTGCATTTCAAACAAATACGAAAGCTAAAATTGTTACTCATTGAGGCAATCAGCTAAGATCCAATCAGCTTCCTATTTAATTTAACAGATGTCTCTCTCCTACTTTGTCTGGCACCCAGACCATGTATGTCTATACTGCAGTGGCGAGCCTTTGGGAGAAAACTGAGAATATGTATGCCAGAGAAGCCCCAGTCACAGGAATTCTCAGTATTAACAATACCTAACAAACAAAATTGCTTCACAGGCAACGACGTGTCCCGCCTCCAAAGGGCTTGCCCAGTTCCCACACTGGACTAGTAATGCACAGGCTGGTCCCAACTGGGACACACTTGTGATAACAATTCCTGCAATAGTTCCTTGAGCAATAACAACAAAAGACAAGAGGACATTTTAAATAAAAGTGTTTCAAGTGAAAAGCCTTCCAGAATGTGCCGAGAACCAGGCAAACTTTAATGTCACATCAGTTCACATTTCGAGTGGAAGGAAGCCAGTCAGTATTACACTGGCATCATCAACGTTGCCTGAGTTGTTTACACACTTATAAAGATGCGTGTTCCCTCTGGCACCTGGTGTTTCAACTAATTCTAAGTGTGTACGTTGGCCATACCATAAGGAGTATCCTGTGCACAAACATGCACAAGGAATCATTTGTACCTCTCATCTTGAAAAGAGTTATTGTAGCCAGTAGATACTGACTGACCTAGACCTAGAGTAATTCTGTCCAGCGACAGAAAATAAGGTGCTAATCTTAAAAATAGTACAAAGACATTATTACAACTCTGTACAGGAAGGAAACACCAAATTACATTGGAAAGGCTACAAATGAGCATTAATGTGCACTTCTTTATTCTTAAATTACTGTTTTTTATCATCACTGCCGCTGAAATCCAGAGACGCTAAATGAGCTATTATGACATCAAGGAGCACTTTTACCAGAGCTAATTTGTGTTGTCTTCTGATTTCAGAGAATAGTGTGTAGTCAAGTCAGAGCTCTTGTGGTTGGTTTTTTTTTTATTTGCCAGTCCTAAGAGAGGGGACTGTAACTTGCTCGTGTGAAATAGTCCAAAGGACTGCTCTGACCCCTTTTTGGAAGACAGATTGCCAACACATAATGAGACCAGATCTCAGTTTATAAAAGATCCCTACTTTTGTGAGGGCTTAATTCCTTGACACTTTTTAATCTCAGCAATTCTAATTCCCATAAGCAGAATGAAGAAGGTGTCCCTGAAGCTTCAGAAGAGTTCAGGAGATTTTGTGCCTCAGTGTTAATCATTCCTGTATCTCTTAAAAAGGCAAGTTCTTTATAATCAATAATTAATATTTTTGTTAATGCACACTCCACAAACAAAGACAGTATCTACAGAGTGTTTGGTGCACTTAGTAATAAGATGAAGGAAGAAACAGAAGAGTTTGTGGTCAAGATGCTAAATTACAGACAAGGAGAATGTATGGACTGACATAATTTGAAGCTGAAAAATAGAAAGTCTGTTCTTGTCAATCTGCAGGTATCCTGACAAAAATAAAGAAGAGTTGATGGAGTTTGCTGAAATTAATATTTGGAAAGTTAATACACTGGTGATTCAGCTGAAAGGCAATAGGCAGGAATAAAATCTGAATGAAAGAGGCCAAAGAAAAAAAAAGTTAGCCCATAAAAGACAGACCCCAGACTTCATTGTGCTGCAAGACCTATCACCGCCTGTAATAATAAAGAGGTTAATTGTTAGAAGCAAAGCCAGATCAACAGAAGGGACCAAGAATCTGATGAAATACCACCATGTGATGGAAAATAAAGTAACAATTAACAGTACCAAGATATTACATTTAGGTAAAGAATGATGAAGGGACAAAACATAAAAGGAAAACGCAAGAGAAAAATGTAACTCAGCCCAGCTTAAGAAGAATCATCATTATCCTAAGATGCGAGAGAGGGATGAAAATTGAGCTTTGCCTGTCACTTTGCTCCCGGTCCTGAAATTTCCTATCCACAAGTGCAATGGAAACACAGTCTTTAAAGTCTTGTAAAGTCTTTAAAGACTGTACAAATGTTGGAGGGGTCACTCTGCCATTCTTTTGAAGAGCTGTGCTGATTTTCAGGTTTTGTTTTTCAGCTAGCTCTCCCTCCTTGGTGAGGACTGGTGTGATGGCAGTCTGCCAGCAGTACTGTGGCAGTGTAAGAAACAAGGCAGCAGCTGTAGGGCATGTCACTGCTGGGACACTCAGAACCATAACAGGGGGTTGTTCCCTACCATCCCCTTTTGAGTCCTTCAAAATGCTGTTGGTTTAAGTGTATTTCAACCACACATATCTATTTTAAACATGTAGGAATGAAAGAGGACGGCCAAGCAAATGTTAAAATCGTATATGCCAGCACTGGGCTGGAGACACAGCATCTGGAAAGAACTAGAATATCAGTTAATCTAGACCTACTGAAGTTTTCTCTCTATCTTGTTCAGTTCATTCATTGGTCTCACTTACTTCAAAAGCTCTTTGTCACAGCTTACTTAGTTGGTTGGCAAAAATCATCATGCAAAATACATCGTGCAAACTTGCAATAAATATTCTAATTTACTCAAACTTCTCCAGTTTCATGTAGAGTTTATATGTGTTATGTTTGGGCAGGTACAATATTAGATGTCAGCATATGACCTACAATGTGATTTACGAAGTCTGGGAAACAGATTTCTTTTCAAACATACAGCCAAAACCAATCTGATTTCAGGTGTACTAACTCAGACGTGTAACTGACAATTTTCTTTGAATTTATCTCCTTTTGGGTAACACAACTGAAAAACCGTCATAACAAAAGCTCATTTTAGTAGTAATGTGGGTGATTTGACAGAAACAGTGAAGGAGGTAATAATTTTATTACCCAGGACTTTTATATTTTAGTGGCATGAAATCTGCAGCAAATCAACAATGCTAACAGAAATTCTAGAATCCGATCAGATCTTGATTATTTATAAAATCATCTTCATGATAAGGGGAATGTGTAAGTGAAAGAACTTACTCATCCTCAGCTCAAATACTATTCAGGAGAAGAATGGACATCTGGGATGGTAGAAAAGTAGAGCAGTAAAACAGTTGATATAAAAAACACCAGCATTATTACCAGAATTATCAGTAACAGTAACAGGAATGAAGAAGTTTACAGTAAGGAGAGGAGATGTGTTTGTGTAACAGATCTAGTTATCGTTTGCTGACAGTCGAGTTTGAAAGAGGTATAAGACTAACTCCTCGAGAATACAAAAGTTGCTTTGCTGCCTGTGTATTGGATGTCAATTTACAAAGTCACATAGCCGTGCACCAAGCATCGTTGTCTGAACTCTTGGGGTGGTTCCTGGCCATCTCAGAGTCCTGTTTGCCCACACACTCTCTGTACAGGGTCGTGTCTTGAGGACAACCACAGGGTGGATCTCAAGACAGGGCCACAGCTCTCCCTCCAGGTCTGACACAGTCTCACTGCCCAGCAGGAGATTTTCCAGGGTTGTTTTGCTTTCTCCTAGGACAGGAGTCATGCAAGCATAGAAGAAAGAGTATAAAAGGCATATCTGTAAGTCAGGACATTTTCTTCATGCATGATAAAAAGATGTATGGATTGCAAAGCTTAAACATGGGAGTGGAAGTCTGTCCTAAGGCAGAAAGCTAAATTTACCCTTACTAAAACTCAGAAGGCAGCCATTCTATAGCACTATGTAAGTGTTAATCCTTCAGCCCACCTGAAAGAGAGAAAGGGACACCTGAAGCTTAACTCAAGTGACTGGTGCAAAACATCTTGGCTGCATATTTCTATTAAATTATTTTTAGTTTAAGGTTGAAGACTGAAGTAATAATTCCATTCAACTTAGCAGCTGAAAATAGCTTTTTATGGTTTTTGTTCCATTGGTTGTTTTTTTTCCTCAAATCACAGATCCGAGAGGACTGTATTGCCATAGTTATTCTGTTCTGTTGTGTATAGCGAAACAGAGGATGACGAATTCAGCAGGCCCCTGTAGTATTTGTGCTCATTTGTAGCATCACAGGGGGGCACCGCAAATCTAGTAAGTGACTAAATGGCTTTGCTTCTTGTCAGGCAATGCCAGATAGATTGACCTAGCCAAACTACAGGATTAAGCATAGAGTTCTGGGGAAAAATCAATCTGAGAGCTCAAATCCCATAATCACTACTGAGTACAGATTGCAGAATGTTGAAAACGTCATAATATTAAATCCTAGTTCCATCAAATAATGCAGTTCCTCATCCTTGCCCCCATGGAGGCTTTTATCTTCAGCTCTTCTACTGCACAGATGACTGCTGCTCAGGAACCAACCATTTCATCGGTATATTTGTGTTTTCCCTTTGCAAACTCCTCTCACCAAAGACTCTGGTAGAGTATCCAGCCCAACACTATTATGGAATTATTTTGCTTTATGCATATGTGCCTACACCACCAGCCTGTGCAGCCTCATAAGCAGTACCTTCAGAACTCAGTAGTTCTTGTAGAATCTTTGTAACAAACCCAGGGGTTTTATAAATACAATTGAATATCAAAGAAAATTTCTTTCTTGTTACACCGCCTACCAAATTTTTATCAGACATGACATTATCCTGCTGGCAGGCTGATTACTATATTAATGATGACCAGTCAATGTGATTTTGCCAGATTTTTCCTACCTTTTGTCTGCTCGAGCACGCTCTTCTGGTATGCACCTGCTAAGCATCTTCCTTCAGCAGTGTGTGTTCTTCAGAATTTACTGACAATTTCCTTGATTTTCAACCCATGTATTTTTCAATAAAATGTGACTATCATGTTTTGAAACACATTTTCCATCCAATTACTACAGATATTTACTCATTTGAATAAACCATATACTGATTAAATAATTCCAGTAATTACTAACACAGGGATTATGTGCAGAGAAGAAATCTGGACTGTAACATCCTTGGGGAAGGTATCGAGTGAGGTGCGTAAAGTTAACTTACCTGTCAAAAAGTTCTCCACCTGTGACCAGTTCCAGAACAAGACTTATTTCTGTAGGGGTCTCAAATATCTCCTTCAGTTTTATCTGTTGAAAGATAACAGAAAGGATTCATTCTGCTTGTTTGTCTTCTTGCTGAGCATATCGCATGGCCACCAGCAGGAAACAGAACAGTAAATTAATAAAGCAGAGGATAGTACCAACTGAAGTTGGTGCATCATTTACCTTGTTGTTGAGCAAGTTACTGTGCATATTCTCTCCCACCTCACCCTTTTTTTTCTTTTTGCTAGCTTTATCTCGTCTGTATTCCCTCTTTTTTTTTTTTTTAGTTATTTTCATGCCTATCATATCCTAGCAACCTCTATGTAACACAGGAGTTTAAGAAGCTGCTTTCGTTAGTGCTTGTCAACACCTGTCTACCAATCTTTCAGTGTAACTGAATGCAAGACCGTCCCCACCCTCCAAGGGCTGATAACACAAACTTCCTCTTTCATTTACAGAACTTCTTATGCATCGTTTCTGACTCAACACTGCCAGAAGTTTTTTTAAAGTGTAAGTATAATTCAGCAGTCTTCCAGAACAAGCTGCTAACATGCTCATGAGGAGAACACAAAGCTCTAATGCAGAACTCTATCAAGTCTGTATAGGTTAACCACAACAGTCATCTCCCAGGAACAGAATTTTTTTTTTTTTTTAAATAAGAAACATATGTGGAATGGAAGAACAAGGCTAAACTTACAATGTTTGGATGTGAAAGGCGAAGAAGAACTCCAATTTCTGTGCGGACAATTTTCTTGTCTACCTGGTTAAAAATGGGGAGGGAAGAAGTGAAAAATTTTTCCTATGTTCTCAGTAAAAACTTCTTGCTGTATTACAGGAAAATATGTACGAACAGCACTTTTAGATCTCCTAAGACAATAAATTGATGTGAGACAAACAAGTCAAATATACTGTAAGGAGTAATTTTCCTTTAATACAAAATAGAAAAACACGTGCATCTAGCAAAATGATTACAAATGTACATATAAGTCATGAAAGAAGTAGAATATAGGAAAGAATCTGAAAAAGTTGCTAAAATTCCTGGTTTTACTCAAGTTCTGTCCTTATCTCCACTTAATGTTTGTTCAATTTGTGCCAGGATAGCTTTCTTTTGACACACCACTCAGTAGCTGTACAGGCAAAACGTTTCTAAACATGGGAAGTGCACATCAAAGCAGTGTAACATACTGCTCAGAACAAAGAAGCGACACAAAGGTCAAACACACAAAGCCACAGACAGGGTATAAGTTTTAACACCAGCTTACTTCAGGTATGTCTAACAGAATGGCCTATGAATACAAAAGACTATCTGTTTGGTTAAACCTCTGGAGGATTAGCCCTTCCCTTTCCTCCCCTTCCAAAACTGCAGCCTTTCACAAGCCAGGCACAACCTATGTCCTGTTGGGGGACATCAGTTTTTTCTCACAAGAAATGTAGACTACGTAGTATTTCACTCAGGAATATGCTGCAGCTCTCCTGGAACTTCAATGCTTAAGCAAGCAAGAAAGGAAAATTTTGCTTGTAGGTAAATTATACATGCTTTTATACTGCTAAGGTAATTAATATATTTATGAAGACACTATCTGGTTTGTAAATATTCCCGCAAACCCTAGAAAAATCCTACAAGTATGACTATTATGAAGTTATTTCTTCTACAGCACTCTTCATCTCTGGGGTTACAAAATGAATGAGAATAAGCAAGTCAAGTCACTACCTGTGTCCAAACTGATTACACTGATGATCTCAAGCAGAACATTTTGAGGGGGTTAGAGGGAGTGAGTTTTTTTAGTGGAGGCTTTTCATCAATCACATTCTGGACTTGGGTTTTTTACATCATATGGGAAATCAACAGTCATAATACATAAACCTTTAAAAGGGATATATAACTACCTTAAAATTCTTAGTGAGGAAGACACATGCTTAAAAAACAACCCCGTTTCTAAATCACCTGAAAGAAGAGATGTACTTCTGAATACTGAAAACAGTATTTTCTTTTTTCCAGCAACAACAAAATCCAAGTACCAGTCACATTCAGAACTACAGGATAGGCAGAATTTGATTCTCCCCTTGTGTTAATCAGGAAAGATTCCAGGCTAGCAATGACACAATGCTCTGACAGTGGTGTAAATAAGTGGAGAACTAGACCCCTCAGGGAATTCTTGAAACTCACTGACATTTAACCTCTTTTAGTGGCTCTGCCAGAATACAAAATGCGAGAGAGAAAAAACAACTTTGGACAGATTCAGTGCATGTGAGAAGCAGCAGAAAGCAAAAATCAAAGAGGAACAGAATATTCCACTACCTGAACACCTAACTGGAGGTAAAGAACATAGTCAACAAATCTTCACAGGTTAATGCCTGCTCTAGGATCAAAAGGAGAACCCTTTAAGCTCCACGCTCATCACAGTCCTTATAAATTTTATTGCTTTCTACGCTGAATGCAAGCATTTCTTTGCTCTTGCCTGCTACACGAATACTGAGCATCAGGTTTGAGGAATGGTCTCCCATGCAGTCTTCCTAAAACGCTGTGAGCATCAGCCTGTAGCCTTACTTGGTTTGAATATCCCCTTGGCATCAGTGCTGTAATGCAACTCTGGGTTACTTTTATGAGTGCAAACGCACAGCAAGAGCCTCCAAAGCTACTGCTCAGTAGAGAGGGGCTCTTACTGACTCAGAGAGTAATACATGCCTGGACTGTTTTCATACACTTTACATCTCAGACAGGATCAGAGAAATTAATGTACAATATTGCACGGACAGTCATTTCCCCAGGACAGCCATTTAGACTGAGCAATTTACCTTACCCAAAAGCACCACTATAAACTGAACAACCGACAGTTTGTTTTCTGCAGTTTTGAAAATGTTTACGCATCAGGCATGCCTGGCAGCAAGCATGGAAGAGGATGTCCAAACTCCAAAGATGCTTCCTTTTGGTACAGAGCAGTTACAACTGAGAAACTAGAGAGGCCTCCTCTAATCTCGCAGGTGGCAACAAATTAAGTGAAAAAGTAAACCGAGACTCAAGTTTCACATCCTTGCTTTCCTAAATGTTTACTCTGCAACTGTTGGTGAGACCCTCTGTGATCCAGTTCTTGACCTGACATAAACCAGCAGACTTTCATAATGCTTCCTCAGGTGGTGGCACGAGGAAAAGGTACCTAAAAACTCAAGACACTAAAATGCAATGGCAAACACACCACAGAGAAACACTGAGGAGTGTTACATATTTATAAGCATCTTGGAAAAGGGCTACTGGCATACATTTTATAACAGAAGTGTGCATGGAAAAGCAATATGAATCGTTACAAAGTAAAAACAGCAGCATATGTAGTCATGGTCTTTTCTTACAGACTGCCTGTTTTATCACTTTTATTTTCTTACCTTCTTCTACACTAAGTATAGAGCTATATCAACGCTTAACTTGTTTCAGGTCCTTTGGACAAAATGTACTTACATCAAGGCAAAACTTGGCCTATTTTTAGTTTGATCAGAAGTATCAGCAATTCAACTACTTCTATTCCTGACATTAAGCATTTGATAGGATGACAGTCATGCATTTCACTTGATAGTGTCTGTTGCTAGAGTAACAAATTACAAAACTTGCGTAATTCAACCAAAATGTCCTATTAGTGCAAATGTTTGAGCAAATTAAATATGTTTGGCTAAATCAAATACGGGGGTATGACTTGTGTAGATATAATAACTGACCAAACTGAGGTTGTAAAACTGTATTTTTGTCTGCTTTAAATTGCAGTAAAATATGTAACAATCTGAGCTTTCCTTAAATTAACATTACTCACAGGCTAGTCAGTGAGACCTCTGTGATTATATCACAGTTAAGAATAATAAGGTCATTAGAACCAGTCTGTTTCTGAGGAGAAAAAAAAATTAAAAGTTAATTTTCAGATGTTTCCCAGTTCCACTAGTTTAGCAATTACACTTCTAAAAGTTTCCTTTATTCTCTGCTTTTAATCTATGCTAAATGGACCAGAGTATGCTTTTGGTCAGATGTTTCATTAGTATAATTTGATTTCTATTTAAGAGATTACTTTCCATTGTGTGAAAAATATTCATTCTGTACCAGGTCATGCAAATTACTGGTTGGGTGATTTTAACATTGGTGTTATTTTACTGAGCTGTATCTTTTGTTTGCAAACTTTAAATTGCAAGCAATCAAGAAGCATTTGGTGTGAAAGGCCTATGAAGCTGCATTCTGCCATGGTATATCCAGGTCAACTGGAGAAGTCATTTGCCAGGTAATCCTGAAATAGTTATTTATCAGTTCTTCACCATTGAGCCTAGGCATGAAAATTCACTGACTATAGACCAAAAAAATAAAAGAAAGTTGCTAGGTGGCTTGTAATTATCAAAACCAACATCTATATGCTTCCATGGCTTACCTGTGGAGACATTCACGTGAAGTGCTGAAACACAGCAAATCTGGAAGGACTGCTGGTAGGGAGGGTACAGATTTGCCTTGTGCTGTGGTTTGCAGTGCTCCACAGTATGCTTCAGTAAGCAAACCAGGACCTGTGACTGTAGCGCAGGTAAGCAGCTGCATGTGGGCTTTAATGCAACCAGATAAAGTACCTCCAGCAGCAAAGCTCCAGTGACCTGAACCTGCGAGCAAGAGGCAGTCCAAGAACCCAGTGCCCTGAACTGAAATGTCTATCTGTACAGTCACAGGTCCTATTTACAGACAGATAGACATAGGATTAAGAAAGTGTTTCACAGAACCTAGGCCCAGGAAGTTAGGACAGCACTTGCAAGTGTGGACAAATTGTATTAACCACCCTTTTAGTTTATATTAAGGCATTTACACTAAAAAGTAATTATTCCTGTATTATTTCTAGTATTTGTCTCTCCAGTTATTCCACTTTTCTAGACTTAGGCACTTATCTATTTTATAGACACGTGTCTACAAACACGGTGTCTTTGAAGCTGATACAGATCATGCAGTGAAGTAGCACCAAGTCTATAATCAGTCTATTTCTGATTTATAAACTTCAGACTATTTTAACATGGGAAAAGACTGGAAAAATCCCTAATGAAAACTTTTTGTTTTCCCCCTCCATGTTTCCATGCTCTGACATGGTGAGATCACAGAATCACAGAATGTTAGGGGTTGGAAGGGACCTCCAGAGATCATCGAATCCAACCCCCCTGCCAGAGCAGGAACTCCTAATCAAGGGCAGGTCACACAGGAATGCATCCAGATGGGTCTTGAAAGTCTCCAGGGTGGGAGACTCCACAACCTCCCTGGGGAGCCTGTTCCAGTGCTCAGGAACCATTACAGTAAAGAAGTTCTTCCTCATGTTGAGGTGGAATTTCTTGTGCTCCAGTTTATGTCCATTGTCCCGTGTCCTATCGCAGGGCACAAGTAAGAAGAGATTGCCCCTTCTTTCCTGATGCCCAGCCCACATACATTTATACACATTAATGAGATCCCCCCTAAGTCTTCTCTTCTCCAGACTGAACAGCCCCAGGTCTCTCAGCCTGTCCTCATACGGCAGGCGTTCAGAAATGAAAACAGAGATGGAGTGGTCTGAAAACAGAGGCTTTCAGAGATAGAATGATGCTACAAACCTCTGAGATGTAAAAGTGTTGCTTCTATCTGATTTAAATGAAACAACATAAAATTAACTGTAAACAGGTTAATCCAGCTGATGCCTTGAAATATGGGATGCCATCCTGAAAATGGGTGGCCAAGAGATGTACATATCCCTCAAACTTAGTAGAGAGTAAGAAGCAGAGTACATTTCT